CCTTATGTCAAGCCTAGCCGGATAAAATTGAATTTGCTAAATGTCAATTAACATATGGTGTAATTCCCCTAACCATAGACTTGAGACCCTCTAATAACAAATATAAACTCTTACATTTGGACTTCTCGAAAGGTCACCCAAGTATTATTAATATCCAAGGATGCTTAATCTTAAATATCCCAAAACCTTTAATTAATTAGAAAAGAGAGTGCATTTTTATTAATGGCCGATTCTTTTTATATTTGAACCCTTATAAATCATTTTTTTGAGTAATTATCTTTGGTTGCCTATAATGATATGCTACCACCAAGAATTTATTGCTCTTCAAGTTGCACAAAGATGTTTTCACCCTTTATCCTATAGTGAGCTACCATAGGATAATCATAAAGTGAAATGTAACCCTTGGACACATGGGTTAAGGATAGTAGAGCAAAATTTAAATTTCAAGGCAATAGTCTACTAAATGAAGGAACAGAGCTAAATTAACAAGTATATAACCAGAAAATAAAGGAACTAAAGCATAGAATAACTCCCAAATATATAACTACAAAGCGAAGGGGCAAGAGTGCGAGAAATAATATTAGAGCATCCAACATCCCAATACCAAGACCATCAAGTAAAACAAAGCCAAATGAAATCTAGCATTATTTCAACATACCAATGGGCTAACATGAGGATATAAATAACTAACATGGTATGGAAATTAAAGTGATAGCCAAGGGGCTGTAAAAAGGTTCCAAATATATAGTAGGAATGGTGGGTAGGTTAGGTGTGGCTAACCAACTTGAGATATTGTTTAGCTCCCTATTAGATGTGTTTGTCTTTGTTCTATGTCCAATTTGGGTGTAAACCCTCTAAGAGTTAGTTTCTGGGATAATTATAAAAACTTATTAAATATGGAATTGCAAATTTAAACATGGGAACAATACCGTTGTGTTCAAAAAAAAATTTATATTTTATAAATATACCTCACTAATAGATCTAAACACCATCTATAAATAGCTAATAAAACCAAACAAGTATAGAGCATATTAGCTGGGTGTTTGGTGGATACAGTAACCTATCACATAATGATATTTAGGGATTAGTGCTTAATATATAAAGGTTTTTGTCAAGCTAGTGCAAGATATAGTAAAAGAAAATTAAAAGATAAGCCTAGCAAAAAACACATAGATAACAAAAAAACACATTTCTTATATTTATTTGGCTAAAGATAAATGTTAAGCCTAGTTTGCTAGCATTTGAACAAGAAGGATTGATAAAGAACCAATAATACCAACTTTTTTGTTGTTGTAGTAATAAAAAAAGAATATCCAAAAGACTTGCTAATAAGTAACTTTTAATACCCACAGTTATATTCATTATAAGTGCATTTGTATTGGAGTTTGAATGAAATCAAAAACTTGATTGAGAACTACCTACAACAATTGAAACTTAAGCTTGTAATCACCCACATACACAATTAGGTTTATTTGTTCCACATATATGCATGTGTATAATTATTACTATAAAGAATGAAGATTAGTTTGATGTAAATTCAAATAGTAATATATAGCAATATGCTAAATAATAAAAGATAAATGGGTGAACTAGTACCATATAAACCCTTCAATAGTGGGTTATTGACTTATTTGCATAAAGACTCAATCATTTAATTCTTTATTTCTCTAAAGAACTTTTGTGTTAAATCATTTCATAACAACAACATTAATAGAATGTTATTCCATCTAAGAAATGAAGGATGTCAATCCAAGAAACATTGATGATATATGTGGTTAAGCTCATCTTACACCTAATAGCGAACACCACACCCACACCCACATCTTTGTCTTTATCCTTGAACATATAAATATTGATGATATGTGTGTCCATGCACTCAATAATGAACTTTACAGCCACAATTATGTCTTAATCATTATCCTTGAATGAGTAGCAAAAACATTAACTTTCATTAGAGCAAAACCATCCTTTATGAAAAATAGACTTAAAGAACATCTAATTATAAGTGGATGAAGTGATGTTTTATAGTGTTGTGGTAGTTAATATTGAGTATTGTTAAAAGTTATTAGAGTAAGTGTATTGCCTAACTTGATCTACTTTGACATATTTAACTCAACACAAATCAAAAGGCTTTAAATGAAAACACTAAATTGTATAATTGACTCAAACAACCTTTAAAAGTTATTCCACAATTTTATAGTAAAATATATAAATTTTTAAAAAAATTCAAGCTTATTTTAAAACTTATAAGAAAAATTTATGTATATATAAGTTGTTGGATGAATTAAGTTTAGAATGTATGTTTTTATATGAAACTGTAGAGTAATTATGGTATAGTATCAATACCCACTATAGAAACTAGGGTTAAAAAAGGAATTTAAAAAAAAACATAAAACAGTTAAAGAGGCTTAATTTTTTAAAGTAAACCTAAACTAAGTCATTTCTATAGTTTTATTTCTTTTTATGATGCTAATCCATTTCTTTGTTGCACACCATGCTAGTGCATATCTAATACTATAGCTAGCATTGTAACAATTTAACACCATGGTTAACACTAGTTAGATTTTTAGTAGCTTTATAGGGCATATTGCCATAGTTACTACAGTGCACATGAATTTAGAGTTGAATTCCAAACTTGTTATGCTACAAAACAAGAGTTTGGTATACACTCAATATCCTCTATAAGCATTAACTCCCCATATTTAACTTTTACATGCAAAACAGTGTCAGACTATATTTAAAGTTAGTTTTTGGGATAGGCTTGAAAACTTATTAAATATAGAATAGTGGTAGATTGTGAATTAAGATGCAAGAACAACATTATGGTATTCAAAACTCTTTTTACATTTTGTAAATATGCCTCTTAAACTAATCTAGAGATTTAAAATAAAAAGCATATAGAACTAAAATGGGACTAACATATAGAGCATGATAGTGAGGGTGTTTGGGCAAACATAGTAAGCTATTATATAACAATATTGAGGGACTAGACTTTATATTATAGGGTTTTTGATACTAACAAGTGTAACCCAATGATACAAGTGTTTCAAACCAAATTGAGTATGCTCAACAAAAAATACAAAAGGGTTCTTACCTTATGTTTATCCAATGTAAATACACATGCATTAACCATTTTATCAACTAGCTCAACTAAGAACTATAAAGGGAACTAACTATACCAATCTTTTGCTATTATGGCAATAAAAAGAGAGTGTCTATAAAGATTGGTCAATAAATATTTTTTGATATCTAAAATCATATCTATGACATTTAGCACTTTTTAGTGTTTTATTCCCTCTTTACTACAAATTGGCATATGAAGAGCCAAAAGGAGCTTATAACAAGCTATAGCAACATAAAGACTAAATTTAGTTGGGATGAAGTTACTACTAGTGTTGTAAGATCTTGATGAAAAGGTCATGGCTTAGCCATCAAATCCATCATCCAAATTAAGGAGTTACCTGAAGAGTTTTCTAACATATATTCAAGAGTGGAGTAGCTCAAATAAAGTAATTGTTCCATTATAGAGAGCTTGAGTAATGCTTGTTTATGCCATTTTAGATATTATAATCACTTGGAATTAGCAAGAATTAAGCTAGCAAGTTTTTAAGTTTTTTGAGTTTCTCTTTACTACTGGATTGCACGTTCTAGTATGGAATTGGCCCATGAGTGTCACCAAATGAGTAGGAAATAATATTTAATCAAAATACAAATGCTAAACTTAAATATAAACATATATGCAAACAAAAAAAAAAAGAATTCTAACAACTTATTAGTTAATTGCAAAAATAACTTGATACATATCAAAACATGCATAGCATATATATTCATTCTGAAACTAACTTTTAAAAAAACACACAAAGGCTATATATATAGTAGAAGGAGCAAAAGGAGTTAAACCAACTATCAATCAAAACATGGCCATTGCGGATTAAACCTTTGAGAAATGTCTTGAATCCACAAAAGAAATCCATCTTCATAATTATAAATTTTTGTTATTATTTTTTTAAACTATATATTATAATAAAAATATTAAGAAAAAAAAGAAAACCAAGTGTTTCTACAATGTAATGTGCAACAACTTCTTTTAATAACTGCTAAGTTTACTGAAATCTCTACCATACCACACCACCAAAATGCAATCATGTTTTGATTGTAATAGTAGTGAGGTTGGGACAAATTTCCAGGCTAGAGCACCCATCCTATATATGCTATCACTTGAAAGTCAGAAAAATAACATAATAAATAATTATGAAATTAGAGAGAGAGAGAGAGAGAGAGAGAGAGTTTTTAAAACATTCTTAATCCAATTGATCAAATGGAAGTTTATATTATATACAAACATATTTATAATTTATAAATACAAGAATAATCTTTTTAAATTTTAACCATTAAATGATAAAATGTACTAGAATATACTAAAAAATTAGAAAATCTATAAATTATTAACAAAATACAAGATGAATAACAACTATTAGATGGTAGAATATCCTAAAATATCTAAGCATATTTTAAATATATCCTTACACGTGCAAAGACCCATTGAATTTACTTTTATATAAGCTGTAATTTAAAGAGTCATTTGAGCTGGTGACTTGGTTGGGCCTTGTGTCTCTGGGAAAGTGAGGCACCGATGGATTCCCTGGTGCTGCGACGTGTTGGAAGAATAATAAATGATGCATGTAAGTGAGGGATGTCTTCTTGCCAAACGATTTCACCAAACCATCTCTTTCCCTTTTCAAGACAAGCATTCTAAAGCACCTCCCAAAACACAAAATGAATTGTTGAGGTAAATGCTGTAGTGTAGTCCTCCATCATGCCGCTCTGGCTATTCATAACCAAGTAGATCCAAGCAAACGGCCACATTCTCTCCGCCTGGAAGCATTACATTGCGATCTTCGATTCTAAAAGGCACTGCCAAACAAATGGGAACTAACTGGCGCTGCCCGCTCCGATGCCAAGCTCCGATCGTTCGGCGCCTGTGACTGAAAATTGGCGACAATTCTCGAAGAAATGCATCCATTACAAGCAAAGAAAGTAGTATTATCACGCAAACAAAAACAAGCTCTCTTTCGTCAAAACTGCCGGCTAGTCCAAGTCCCACGCTCTTTTAGTGAGGACTTTGACGCTCATCCATCCATGGAATGGCTCCGGGATCTCCTTGCCTTCTGCCTGGCCATCGCCATTCTTCCACTCACTCGGGCAGCAACCGAGCGGGAGCTCCTGCTGGAATTCAAGCGCGGCATCGTCGATCCTCGCAACGTTCTAGAGAGCTGGAACGCTTCTACCAATCCGCAGGTCTGTAGCTGGAAGGGAATCGAATGCGATGGCGGCGACGGTGTGGTGGGGATCAACTTGGAGCACTTCCAGCTCAATGGGACCATGTCTCCAGTTATCTGTGAGTTCCCAAATCTGACCAGCGTGAGAGTCACCTATAACAACTTCGACCAGCCCTTCCCTTCGCTTGAGAGATGCAGCAAGCTCGTCCATCTCGACTTGAGCCAGAACTGGTTTCGCGGCCCACTCCCGGAGAACATCTCCATGATCCTCGGTCATCTCCCACTTCGCAGGTTGGATCTCTCCTACAATGCCTTCACTGGACCCATGCCCGACGCTCTTGGAGAACTTCCCACCACCCTCCAGGAGCTCGTCCTCAGCGCAAATCTCTTCACGAACTTGACCCCCAGCCTCGGCCGTCTCTCCAACCTCACCTTTCTCGACGTCTCGTCCAATATTAATCTCCTCCGTGCCTCCATTCCTCCCGAGCTTGGCAATCTCACAAGGCTTGTCCGGCTGTATCTGTTTAACTGCGGCCTCGTTGGAACCATTCCACCCGAGCTAGGTGCCTTAAAAGAGCTCGAAGACCTCGAGCTCCAGTCCAACAATCTCACCGGCAGCATTCCTGTTGAGCTCATGTACCTTCCTAAGCTGAAGATGCTCGAGCTCTACAAAAACAAGCTCTCGGGTCAGATTCCATATGAGATTGGCAACCTCATGCTGCTTACCGACTTGGATGCCTCCGAGAACGCTTTAACTGGCAGCATTCCTACACAGGTTGGAGGGATAAAAAATCTGCGGATACTTCATCTCCACTTGAATCGCCTGACAGGGAGCATCCCAGAAAGTCTTGCGGATTTGGAAAACCTCGAAGAATTCACAGCATTCGCAAACAACCTGACAGGCAAAATCCCCGAGTCCCTAGGAAAAAAAGCCAGGCTCAGCTACGTCACACTCTCACAAAACAAACTTACCGGAGGTGTGCCACCTTTCATCTGCGGTGGAAATGCTCTGCAAAACCTGAGCCTGTACGGCAACATGCTGTCGGGAGGAATTCCTGAGAGCTTCAGCGATTGCAAAAGCTGGGTGCGATTGAGGCTGCAAGACAACCATCTCGAAGGCCCTGTTCCGCCAAAGCTCTGGGCCTCCCCCAACCTGACCGTCTTGGAGCTCTCTTCCAACAGGCTCAACGGCAGTGTGACTTCCGATATCAAGAACGCTGCACAGCTAGGAATTCTGAGGTTGGATGGTAACAAGTTCGAAAGTTTACCGGACGAGCTGGGAAACCTGCCGAACTTGAGCGAGTTGACGGCCTCGGATAACGCAATCTCCGGATTCCAGATTGGGAGCTGTGCCTCTTTGGAAGTTTTGAATCTGTCTCACAATCTTCTGTCCGGCGCTATACCAGCAGATATCAGAAACTGCGTGAAGCTCAGTTCACTTGACTTCTCCGCAAACAGTCTGTCTGGCTCGATTCCATCGTCACTGGCTAGCCTTTCCAGGCTCAACATGCTGGATCTTTCCGACAACCACTTGAGTGGAGACGTTCCATCTGCTCTGGGAAATCTTCTGCTGTCCAGCTTGAACATCTCCAATAACAACTTGAGCGGCCGTATTCCTGAGAGCTGGACTCGAGGCTTTTCGGCTGATAGCTTCTTTGGAAATCCTGATCTCTGCCAAGACTCGGCATGCTCCAATGCAAGAACCACCAGCAGCAGCAGAACTGCCAACAGCGGTAAGAGTCGCTTCTCGGTTACACTGATCTCGGTTGTTGTTATCGTTGGAGCCGTCGTCTTGCTTCTCACTGGCACTCTCTGCATCTGTTGGCGCCACTTCAAGCTCGTGAAACAGCCACCCCGTTGGAAAGTGAAATCGTTCCAAAGGTTGTTCTTCAATGAGTTAACTGTCATCGAGAAGCTCGACGAGAACAACGTTATCGGGAGTGGCCGGTCTGGGAAGGTGTATCGAGTTGATCTGGCAAGCGGACATTCTCTAGCAGTGAAGCAGATATCACGATCAGATCATTCCCTCGGTGATGACTACCAGTACCAGTCCGAAGTCAGAACTTTGGGCCACATAAGACACCGCAGCATCGTCAGGCTGTTAAGCTGCTGCTGGAACGCTGATACGGACCTGCTCATCTTCGAGTATATGCCGAACGGCAGCCTGAGAGACGTCCTACACAGCAAGAAAGTCGCGAACCTGGACTGGAACACCCGCTACAGGATCGCTTTGAGAGCAGCACAAGCTCTATCATACCTTCATCACGATTGCTCCCCGCCGCTCCTGCACAGAGACGTCAAGTCAGCCAACATTCTGCTGGACGCTGACTACGAACCAAAGCTAGCAGACTTTGGAATCACAAAGCTACTCAAAGGTAGCGACGACGAGACAATGACCAACATTGCAGGTTCCTACGGCTACATTGCTCCAGGTATGCATCATGTCTAAGCTAATTCCTTTCAAACCTGTCCTCCACCTCTCAGAGTACACCTATACCTTGAAGGTCAGCACGAAAAGCGATACTTACAGCTTTGGAGTCGTCCTGCTGGAGCTAGTGACAGGCAAGAGGCCAGTTGACAGTGAATTCGGAGACCTGGATATCGTCAGGTGGGTAAAAGGCATAGTGCAAGCGAAAGGACCGCAAGTTGTTCTGGATACCCGAGTGAGCGCCAGTGCACAGGACCAGATGATAATGCTGCTCGACGTTGCTCTTCTTTGCACAAAGGCGTCTCCAGAGGAAAGAGCAACGATGCGCCGGGTGGTGGAAATGCTGGAAAAAATACAGCCCGAAGCTTGTTACTCTCCATGCACAAAGGAGGAAATGTTCTCACCGGCAAGCACGTCTGGGTCGACGTCTCCATGCAGCATCCCAGAATACGTGTGAGGTTCTTCGTCTTCATTCGCTCGCCTTCGTGATGGAGACAAAGCTCTCAAGGCCTTTCATCTTGTCGTTAGATGGCAATCCTCCTTCCCGTAACTCTTACCCCTTCCAGGTTCTGTCTCGAAACTCGTATACTCTAGAGATTTCCTCTGCTTATCTAGCTGCTGATACTTCTTCAGCCCTTCTTTCTCTTCCACCTTGAGCCTTTCTTCAATGTCCTGCACCTACTACATAGTATTACCTGTCTCTTTTTGCACCAATTTCCTTACGAAGATTCACAGACTTTCGTGATGCAATCTGAGACATAAGTTGAGCGCCATTGCCTAAATGATAGGTATTTTTCTGCAGTACCAGGTGATGTTGCTGAATGCAAGAAAACTCTGATGAATCCAGCAGCGCCCATGGGCAAACCCTACTAACCTAAGTCGCCAAAATTATTTTTTCCGCAGATAGAGAAAAATGTGCTTTATCTCATGCAACCCATGAGGGTATAATCCCAATGCTCCACCAAATGCTTTTCCATCCGCTCGTCTGGGACACCCGTAAGTCAGCAAAGCTATGCTCTCAAAAACTGCATGCTCTCCTTGGATCTTGGTATTCACTTCCAGTTCTCTTTCTCAAATGCCAAGGAACTACCTTCATAGAATAAAAGCCACCGTTTCCATAGATACAGATCTGGTAGGACAAAAATGAACAGCCTGACGTAAAATCCTGGAATTGCAAAAGTTTGATGTGTTTGATGCTGCAAGACAACCATCTAGTCCACCAAACCTCTCTTCCAACAGGCTCAACGGCAGCTTGATGGCAACGAGTTCAAACACTTGCCAGAAAACCTGCCGAACTTGGTGGCCTAAGAGGCCAGCTGACAGTGAATTTGGACATCGTCAGGTGGGTAAAGGCAGATTGCAAGCGAAAGGACCACCGGAAGCTTATTACTCTCCATGCACAACGGAGGAAATGTTGTCACCGGCAAGCACGTCTGGGACGTCTCCATGCAGCATCCCAAACGTTCGTCTTCATCCGCTCGCCTTCGTCCGTGACAACAAGATGGAGAATAAGCTCTGAAGGACTTTTAACTTGTCGTTAGATTGGAATCCTCCTTCCCCAGATTCTTACCTCTTCCAATCTCCTTTTCAAATCTTGTGTGTATCTAGCTGCTGATCCTTCTTCAGCCCCAACCTCTCTTCAATATATTGCACAAGGTCAGTGATCTGTTTGCTCTGTACAATACTCAGGTAAGACACACTTCAGATCTAGATGTCGATTTAGAGCTCAACTGTGTCCTGCACAATCTTGAGGCTCTCCTTTCGCTCTTGCCACCGATCTCCTTATAAGATTCAAGACATTCACTGTCTTGAATAAGTTGAGTGCCGTTCAGAATGGCATGGCAACTAAATGATAGATGAATTATGCAGAAGGAAAAGAAACTCACTTTGCCTTACTGCAGTGCACAACATAGTTGGGCTTCGACCTGGAAAAACCGGCACTTTCCAGGAGGTTCATCTTGAGTTTTCCTGCATTAGAGAACATCACCTGGTACCGACTTTTAATGTGTGTACTTACGTGCTATGTTTTTTGTCAAGAAACTACTCGTCTTTCTTCCTACCGATTGTCCTCCTCAGGCGAACTTCTTCGTTGTCGACCTTGAAAGACAATTTAGTTAAATTCAACCGGAGAAAGTATACTTTTATGGTTGTCAAATTAGAACAAATGCGGACACTTCCTAAAGCACATGAAGAAGTTCTTGTCTGTCTTCAGTTCGAACAGGTCGCTGAGGCTGGAAAAAGGAAGAAGACCACCATAAATAAAATCTAACTCGCCGTGGAAAATTTCTCTAGAGAGAGAGAGAGAAGAAAACAAAGCACTCCACAAGAGAAGGCAAGAAAAAGAAATCTAATAGAATGAATGCGTACCAGCACGGCCGTGCTTAAAAGGCTCAGCAGCGACTCGATCAATTCACGGATGGATGAATTCACAATTCCTCATGAGGTTCTAAGTCTCATCCATTGCTGCATCCACTCAATGGTTGAGAATCATAATACCAATGTCTACAAGATCATCAGTGAGGTGAAGAGCTTAGTGTTTTTGGCTGGTGTCTGGAACCACAACCCCTCTACAGTTGCTCAAGATTTAGGAAGCAGGACTGGGGGGGGGGGGGGGGGGGGCTCAAGATTGGAGGACGTGCTGCTTACAGATGGGATTGAGCTCCCGGAACGTTGCTCATCTTCCAAACTATGCTTGACAGGATTCTTGTAGTATTGGAAAAGGCGGAGTACGCGGAATCTCTTTGCATGCATATGGCTAACCAGAAACCTCTGAGGAGCAACTTGAACCAGGCTTGTAAGTTACCTGCGATTAACAATAATGAAGAGTTTATGGAGAGGGCCTTGGAAAGACAATTGCTTCACCACTGAAGAGTTGCCTACGTTCATCTTTGACGATGAAGACAAGTATTCACTCTGGCAGCAGTGGCGTGCCCTGACTTATACTGTAGCTCACGAAGAGGAGAATCAAACATCACGGTCTCCAAGGAGAAGGCTGTGGTGGACGTGCAAAAGGCTTTGGAGAGGCTGGAACTCATGCGCCATAAGTTCAGAACTGAGATTGTCCGTTTGACGTTTTTGCCAAGGAGCCAAACACGGATCATCTGGTTCTTGATGCACGGAAGGTGGCATTTCATGTGAAAAAATTTCGGCTGCTACATAAACTCGAAAGCGGTATCAGAACACATCTGTTGGCCATCCTCGCTCCACACGAAGTTAACCGTCATCACGAGAAGAGCGTTATCGGGAGTGGCCGGTCTCCTCGGTGATGACTACAAAGTCAGAACTTTGGAGACACCGGAGAATTGTCAGGCTGTTAAGCTGCTGCTGGAACTCTGATACGGACCTGCTCATCGTCGAGTACATGACAGCGTGGGAGACGTCTTACACAGTGAAAGAGTCACAAGTCTGGACTGGAACCGCCGCTACAGGATCGCTTCCAAGCTCTATCAGAGTGATCCTCGCCATTCCTGCACAGAGACGTCAAGTCAGCCAACATTCTGCTAGACGCTGACTACAAACCAAAACTAGCAGACTTTGGAATCACAAAGCTAATCAAAGGGAGCAACGACGAGAAAAATGACCAGCGTTGCAGGCTCCTACTGCTCCAGGCATGCATCGTGTCTCTTTCAAACCTGTCCTCCACCTCTCGGAATACCTTAAGGGTCAACACGAAGAGCGATACTTACTGGTAATTTGGAGACCTCGATATCGTCAGGTGGGCAAAAGGCAGATCGTACGCGGAAGGACCGCAACTTGTTCCGGATCCCCGACTGAGTGTCAGTGCACAGGACCAGAGTGATAATGCCGCTCTCCTTTGCACAAAGGCGTATGCGCCAGGTGGGGGAAGTGCTGGAAAATATACAGCCAGGATACGTTCCATCGACGAAAAAGGAAATATGTTCTCACCGGCAAGCACGACGTTTCCATGCAACATCGCAGACGTGTGAGATTCTTCGTCCTCATTACTTGTCGTCGCTCGCCTTCGTCCGTGACAATAAGTCCTTCATGAGGGAGAAAAAGCTTTGAAGGGCTTTCATCTTGTCACTAGATGGCAATCCTCCAGCTGGTAGCAATTTGCGGCGACGAGTTTGTTCTGTGCTCGCACCTTTCAATAATTCAGCAACCTGTAGTTCTCTCTCAGATCTCGCCCGTGAGATCTTAACCATCTCTGCAATCAAAGTTTTCATTCTGGCCAAAGATTCCTGCTTCTGCCTTCTCCTGTTTTCCTCAGCTTCCTCGTAGTTTTTCCGGACTATAGTGAGCTCGTCTTCTAACACAACGATTCTATTCTTTGCTTCCTTAAGCTCCGCCTGTTCGGCCTGTCTTATTTCCTCGAGCTCCTTCATCTGTTTCCGGGCCTTGGCCAGCTTCTTGCGCAGGCTCCTTGTTTCGGCTTTCCAATCCTTCCTTAACTGATTCAAAAGCTTCTCCTTATTATCAAGTTCAGCTGCCAGCACTGCTGCCTTTTTCTGTATTTCCTGCAGTCCGTGAGAAAATTCTTCCACCACGTCATTTACAGCGAGTTGCAGGTCTTCCATGTTGGTCGCTCGTTCGGCAATTTCACCTCTCAGCTGAGACACCTTTGAAAGCATAGCAATTTAGCAGTAAGTTAATGAAAAAGACAACAGATACATATACCTTGGCCACAAACTCCCCTTGTTCTTTGAGGAGATCTTTCTTCACAGTACTCAGAATATTTTCTTTCTCGGCCAGCTCCCTTGTCAACTGCAGCACAGTGGACTGCGTTTCTTGTAAAGACTCCTGTAGCTTTTTTATCTGGCACATTTTATATATCGAAAAGATCAAAACGCAAATGCCTCATAAAGTATTACCACTGACTCATGAACCTCCAGAGGAACTGTTTGGACGAGCGCTGTTTCAAGCCTGCGTAGCTGCTGCTCCGCAACCTCCGCTTTCTGTACCTCAGACTTCAATGCTTTCACTCCGTCGTCCAAACCAGTAATGTCTTCGGCCCCAGGTCTTTGTCCGAAATTCAATGGCTCTTCGTTAAACATTCCAACATCCCTGGCCGTGAGCTGAAAGAAACGACCACCAAATAGGAGCGTCATTAATGAAGTAGTAACCGACAACGAGAAAAGTCGGGTCGGTCAGCTGTACCTGTTGAATAACTCGTCGCTCAATCTCCGCTCGAACGGAAGCCATAGTCGCAGTCTAGAACGAAAACAAGAGAGAGGAGTGAATAAAGCGATCGCTACGTAACGCACAAAAGACTTGTGAGACGCGAGCAAGAAAGATGGCTGGCTGCTGACCTTGGTGACTGGCGCACTCATCTCATAAACGGGCTTGGTGACAGGAACGAGCGCGCTTTCACGCTTCAACGAGTTCATAACATCCTCGCTTGACTTGTCGGTGATTAACTCCGCAGCCACAACTTCCTCGTCCTCGTCGGCGTAAGGAACGACGGAAGTAGAGGCCGTGGCCAGGCGAATTATGTTAGCCAACGAGCATTGCTCTCTTTGCAGAGCCTGAAAGAAAGAGAGAAACCAAAGAACACGAGTTATAGGCTACTCCACCACCGCAAGAGGCAAAGGAAGAAAACTTACATTTAAAGCCGCCAAGAGCTGCGGTGGGACGCTTCTTCCACCATACATTGCTTGCTCCACGCCCTTGGTCAGCAAATCGAGCCTGTCCACCAGGCGATTCACTCGCTCCTGGATATTCTGGCCGGAAATGCGGCACCGCGATATCTGGCTTAGCCCGATCCCGATGTCCTCGATCTGCTTGAGCACCGCATCCGCCCCGGCGCCTCCATTCCCGGAATTCAATCCCCGGCGCTGCTGCTGCTGCGAGAACGTACCGATGCGCACGGCGTCCAGCTGCTGGACTTCGGCCCTCCCGAATCCAGCGCTGCGGCATCCAGCGCCGCTCCACCTCCATCGCGGCCGATACCCTAGCCCAATGCCAATGCCCGCCATAGCCATTTTGGAAATTTTTAATCTTATCCGCGAGAACTCGAACCCGGACCTCATTCGCAACGTGCCGTACAGAGGTCTCCGTACGAACGTTTTTTTTTTTTCTTTTTTCTGTTTAAAAGTGTGGATTAGGGTTCTAGTTTAAACTTCCCAGCTGTTTGACGCCTTTTGCGGCACATGCGCGTCGCAGAGGCGCAATTTTTTGTCAAGTCCACCCCCGCGGGATTGAATTGGAATTGAATGATGGCATCTTGGACTGGCCAACTTGGCCCGCGCTTCTCTCCTTTTCTTTTAGCCTGTGGATTATCACAACTACTTTACAAGCTCCTCAAGGATCACACCGCGCGATTTGCGAGCACTAGGCCTCTCTAAACATTTCTTTGCGGCCCAGTATAATCCAGGCACTTGCACGCTCTGGTGGATCGAATCAGGAACTCATTTGATTATCGAGCCAGCAGCAACACACCAAAGGTTGCAATTTGCGCAGCAGAAAATCATTTTTTTTTCTTCCCTCCCCCTTTTTTCCCCGCTGATATCTTTGCGATGATAAATAAGTTTGCTTTCAGGTGGATGCATGTGGCCAAAGTGCCCAGAAATGGTTAAATTTGCATTGCTCCTTCTGCACTGCCCATGTTCGCACCCGCGTGCACCTCCGTCAAAACAAATGCCCTAACCACAACAAAAGCGGAGTACGTTCGCCGCAAAATTATACACTTCAAACCTTGACCCCCACATGCATGCATGCGCGCTTTGCCACCTTTGCATGGCACGTACCGGAGAACGACTTACATTCAGGGCGCAGAGCCATTTGCATCTGCTGCCACCCACGAATCAATCAAGATTATCTTAACAAACTGGAAGATTACAACAATTTTGGAGTTGATTTTTTCTTTTCTTTCCAAGGAAACAACCGACACCACGAGGCATAGAGCACAGTCCCAGTGGGGTTGGCGCACACAGACGGCCTTGAGTCGCTTTCTATGGAGCACCCGACAACATTAACTCGCTACCTTCCCTTCTACTTCAAGGTATGGATGCAATGTCCCACCTAAATTATACCAGGGGAGGATTCGGGCGGGACCTTAGCGGCTGCATTTTCATCATCAGGATTGGAAAAACATTGAAAGGAATTAAGAAAAATGCCATGATATTCTCCAGATTTCTTTCGCTAAATTCGCATAGTTTGATTCTTCTTTCGATCTAAATGCTATCGGAAACTCGCCAATTCCAAAACCACACAAAGCATTCAAGGAAATACGAACAAGGGATTTCTTTTTCTCTCCCCTTGCACTGTCGTGAATGCGGCGATATTTTTCTTGCTCAGAATATTTCTTTTTTCTTTTTGTAGTATATCTTCCCGGCCACTTCCGCCACCTTTCATCAGTCTCTCTGGGCTCGCTGCGATTCAAATTCAAATTCTCGCCCAGCCCAGCCCAGCCCAGCCCAGCCCATGAGGACGAAAGAGGGAAGAACGCCGCGGAAAACACTGCAAACCGGGGAAGACTGGATGGTGTGCAGTGCAGATTTTCAGCTTTTTGGGAGAGGGAGGAAAGAGAATAGGCATTAAAAACAAGCAGCAATCACAGCACAGCTCGGATCGCCCTTGCTTGCTGCACGCAGCCAGCGCAACAAGCACAGCGTTTTGTCCGTGCACGAACAAGCAACAAGAAGTTGAAATCACTTCCCACATTCACTCGCCTTGAACAGGTAATTGCGGTGAAAGAGAAAATGCCTCCAAAATCTTCTCGGCAAAAACCATAGAGTTTAGAATCAATCAACTTTCTTCATCATCAATCTCTTAACTTAAAGCTGGAAGACAAGGCCTGTCCCTGGAGGGCACAGAACTTAAACTAAGTAGCTTTGCTAGCCATCTACGTTGGAAAGGGAGAGCTGGGAGAAAAGCAAAAAAAAAAATATGAAGTAGAGAGAAAGAGAGGGAGAGAGAGAATGGAATCGACTCGACTCAACTTCGATGACAATGACGATGATCGATCACCGACAAGTCCACCAGAAAAGAAAACCAAAGCGAGCGGCGCCAGAGAAAGAGAGAGAAGAAGATCACCGATCACACGGCATAAGTTCCGTACTCGCACCGTATGCTGGCACCCCTGCCCTGCCCCATTGAATCTGCAATGGACAATCAATCCTGCCCTGACCGACCAGACCGGCACACGGACGGATGCTTCCCCGTCCCTTCTACAGACTTTCCTCGCTCGTCTCGGCTCGAGCTCTCCCATCTCCAACACAAATGCCCGAGAGCTCTGTTGTAGTAGCAGACCACGAATTGGTGATCAATCCAATGAATCCAATCCCAAAACTGGGCTCTCCGCCAACTTTCGCAAAGCCAAAACCATCCCAGAGACATGGTTCTCCTGTATCCTTGCCAGAAAGCCTCCGCTCTCTCTCTCGCCTAGCTCTGCACGACGTTGTAAATCAAGCCACCGTCTAGGACCTCTCCACCGGTCGGTGCCGGGGCCGAGCTGGAGCTCGGGCTCAAGCTCGGGCTGCGCGGGCTCGGGCCCAAGAAGCGCGGATGTGACGACTCCTTTTGGCGCCGCATCTCTAGCACCTTCCTGTGGGAATTGGAGTGGACCTCGGACAGGAAGGTCGGGCTGAGAGCCGGCCTATACTCGGGGAAGAGTCTGCCCGACTTAAACCTCACGCCACACGCGTTGCACAGCGTCTTGGGCCCCTCGGGCCCGGCTCGCCATTGCGGGGTCTTCTGGCTCAAGCAGTGCGTACACCTCCGTGGCTGGACTTCCACTCCTCCGATTGTCATTCCTCCTCCGGCGGCTGGGCCGTTCGTGGACGCGATGATCGAGGAGCCCAGTGGCGGCTTGCCGGTGGCGACCGCAGCGATGGAGGTCTTGTTGGTGTTGCACAGCGACGAGGCGGAGGAGGAGGAGGGGGAGGTGGCGGAGGAGGTCGAGCCGGCGGCGGTGATGGTGTCGGGCTTGATAGTGGACGACTCCACCGCGTCTTGCTCGTCCGAGGACGCCAGGTCCTTGTCCGAGATGGAGCTCGTGGCCGGGGACGACGAGAAGCTCGTCACATTGTTCCCGGTGGTGGTGTTGATGATCATGATGGCCTCGCCGCCGCCACCCACGACACCGTCGCCGCCACCGCCACCGCTGCTGCTGCTGCTGCCCGGATTGATGAGCGACGAGGAGCTCGTGTTCCATGTCGAGGAGCTGCGCAGCCGCTTGCTCCGGGGCCGCCCCGGCACGGACAAGTCCTTGGCGGCCGCCAGCCTGCCCGAGGTGGCGCTGCTGCTCTCCAGCACCGAGATGGGACTCCCGACTTGGAACTTATCTTTGCTGCCCGTCGTAGCGATCGTGGTGGTGGTGGTGGTGGTGGTGGTGGCGGCGGTGATGTCGTCCAGCAGGAGGAGGCTGTCGATGTTTCTCTTGTTCGTGGTGGTGGTGTTGGTGGCGGCGCTGCTGTTGATGATGGAGGAGCTTGCGAAGCTCGATCCTTTGCTCCCGATGAACATACTCTTGTGCAATTCATCGCCCATGTTGGTGAAAGTGTCATCGTCAACGAGGCTCGAGAGCCATTCCAGCTCGGGCATCTCATCGCACTGGAAGAACAAAAGAGAAGACGTTTAGATGGTGTTCTTCCAGCGGGAACGCGAGGAAATAGAAGAGAATGGCTCTTACATCGATGGGGAATTCGTTGCTGGGCTGTTGCTCGATGCCATGGTGGTGCTGGTGGTGCTGGTGGTGTGGTTGCGCGGAGGGAGGAGCAATGGGAGCGGCGCTGGCAGCAGCGATGGAATTCTGGTGGTGGGCTTCCTCGCCAATCGGCCCGGCAATGTCCTCGTTGGAGAAATCCAAGAGGTCCTCGATATGAAACGGGTCGAGAATGCTGCCAGTCTCGGGCTCCCACGCCGCCACCGCCGCCGCCCTCTTAGCCGCGCCGCTCTCTTGCTGCTGCTGCTGGGACTTGTCGACGAATGTGCTCGCCACCTCCATCATCCTCGTCGGTTGCTCAAATGGGTCCTTGGCAGTGGACGATTTCCAGCCGACCTGATCAAGCATGGCCCCGTCAATGGATTTGTCATCACAAATTCATGCGAATGCGAGAGAAAAGATGGGGAGAACACGAAGAACACAAATAAAAGAGCTGGGCTCTACCTGGGCGGACCAAAATGGGTCGCGCAATCGCCCAAATAGAAATGTGGGCGCTCCTTATATGATCAATCTAAATCGATCCTCCCCTCCAAACCAAACAAGGTTTCTCGTCCAGAGTTCCTGGAAGTTGTTCTTTAGCTCGCTCGAATCGAAAGGAGGAGGAGAAAGAGAGAAGCAAAGAGGAGATTGAGAGAGTGTGAGTGAGAGAGTGAGTTCTTGCTGCTTCCTTTCTCGTATGAGGCGGAAAATGGCAACAAAGAAAAGCTCAGCTCTTAAGGCTCCGTTCCCCTAAAAAATTTGAATGCCCGTTTCAGGCATTTTTGGGGTTGGGATGATCCTTCCCATGTTCTTCCATTGTTGGGTCCCTTTTTTTTTTTACCTTTTTTTTGAGTTTTTATTTTTTTAAAAAAGGTAGGTGAATTTTTTTGTTGTGAGTGAGCGCATAGATCGTGGGCGCCAGCTCGCCATCCTGACGCCAAAAAGACGACCGCTGAGCAGTGGCCAGCGTGTCGCAATCGCAGCCGCTGGGTTTAAAACCGACGCTGCCGATCGCGCCACCGGTGCCAGGCGGCGCCGCCGGTTAAGGGGGGGTTAAGCGTGGTGGCGCGCCGCGGGTAAAAAAACCTGGGCATTTTAACGTGACTAGCACTCACCCCCCACCGCATCTTTAAATGTGGGAGTTTGTAAAAGGCTTTTCGATTTTTCAAGTTTTAAGTTTCGCGCGCGGTCACATGACGGCCTTACAAAAGAAAAGTTAAAGATGCTGCAAAAGGTGGCGGGCGAATATGCCGCCCGGATCATTCGAATCGTCGCCGTCCGGTTTTGACGTTGCGCAAACTAAAATCTCTCTGCCCCCACATGCCACTGCTGGCTACATATTGACAAACTTGCCACCCTCGAGTTATTTTACGCCGTACAATACACATTCCTATAGTTTGATCTTTCACGCAACAAAGGGCATCATCAAACCAGCTGTGTTTGATTTCTAAGTTTGCAAGCTAGAGTAAGAATTCTGAGTTTGATCTTCTTTTGATTTGTCTAGTGCTGGAACTAAGTTAATCCGGGCACGCAGGGAGGCACGTCCATTCCACGATGATTCTTAGAGACGATAACGACCGCTCTTCCACAATTTAATTCCAGGTGGAGGTGATGATGGTCACGTTAGTAGTAGTGGTATATTCTAATAAAAAAAAGGAGGGGAGAAGGGTATATAAGAATTTTTTGATTGATCCCCCAATAGCTGGAAGATCCTTTCACACAACCATACAAATCAAAAGAACCAGGCTAGACAACGGAGTTAAATAAAAAGCATCTAAGAAACACTCAAACAAAATATATGCCTCCCACAAATCTTCACCACCACCACAGCTAGAAAACTTGCCGGCTTGCTTTTCCCTTCGTAAAAATCACCACCGACGATACAAATCACCGTAGGAACAAGCTTCGAAATCTCTCCTTCCATCACACCACCACAGCTTCGATCCATCCCCTCCCCCCATTCCCGAGCAAAGCTATGCTGCCAAAACTTTTCTCTTCCAGTAGAACACTCGCAGCCTTTTCATCTTCAGGTGAAACCCAGTATATAGAGAGAGCTTTAGCTCCTCCATCGCTTCTTCGTTTTTTTCCTGTTGTTCTTACTTCGTTCTCCACCTTAACTTCCTTTCTGAGTCTCTGTACTTGTTGACAAGGCTGCCGCTGTTCCTGCCGCTGCCGTTGTGGCTGCTGCTGCCGCTGGCGCTGCTGTTGCCTCAGGGGGCGTCGGTGTCACTGGTACCACTGGCCGAACATATGAAAGGGACCGCTTCAGTCTGATCGGCCCCACGCTTGACCGAAAGCCATTCTTTGCTGCGCTCGACGGCCCCATTTGGCTGGCGCCACCATCTCGTTTCCACTGTAAATGTGGAGCACCTACGGGGTAAGGAGGCCTTACCAGACGGGGCGGTGGCCTCATCATGTACGGTGACCCCCTCATAAACGCTGCTCGCGGGAACGCTGCTCTCATGGGCATTCGGACTGGTGGCCGAGGCCGCATGACTGCTGCTGCTGGGCTACTGGTTTCTGCTACGTTAGCATCCTTTCGAGCTACCTGAGAAGGGGGGAAAAGTGTCAATGACGGAGCGAGTTCCCATTTTAAACACAAGGCTTACCCGTATGGGTCTCGAAAGTAAACTCGACTCGTTTAGAGACAGGGCCCTGTCGGCTGCGTCCTTGGATGAAAACTCCACATACGCAGACCTGTGAGTGTTACCGTTTCAGATGGTGTTGAAAAAAGAAATATAAACAATGCACGCACCCCTTGGGTTTGCCGGATACTCCATCCGTTAGCATCGTCACCTTTACAACCTCGCCACAGGAACCAAAATGCGTGGAAATAGCTTCCTTCGTGGTCGCGAAGTGCACCTGGAAACAGATAAAAACGGCAACCCTTCTATAAACGAGAAAAGCGAGCTGCTTACGTTGGTCACCAGAATAACCTTGGAATCAGTATCATCTGATGAGGACTGGGGCGTTTTAAAACCTGTTTCGCAAAAGAGAAATTAAAATTTTGAGACTGCTCCTAGAGAAGAAAGGAACAGAGTAACTTACTTGTTAAAGGTGCGGTTTGCATAGACGTAGTGGCAGCTGGAACACTAGGAATGTTAGTAGTAGCCGCAGGAGGGTGTGGTGCCGAGGACTTTTCAGAAACTTTGGCAGCTTCGTCTTGCTTTGTCCGCAACTTAGTTACTTCAAGCTCCACTTGCCGCATTCTCCTCTTCATCTCCGTCACATCCTGCACAATGGAAACACAGGAGTAGATTATCAAGACAAAAACAAAAATACTACGATGTATACCTGCAAATCTTGGCCCTTTCCGTTGGGTATATCCACAAGCTTTTCCTGTTCTACACTAGTTCTTCTCTCCAATGGTAAGATATCCTTGTGCTTGGTATCGTCGTCCGTATGAAACACACGCTTGTACTGCAGAGGCTCCTCCACTTTCTTTTGGCGACGTTCCTTTCTCAAGGTGTGTCGTTTTGAAGGCTCTTTCTTGTTCAGAGATTCAGGCACCTCTTCAATCCGCCTCTCAAACTGCTCCCCATGATCATAAGCGTCATGTGATGCTGCTGGTGGTGGCGGCATAGCAGTATCCGCTGTACGTCGCTCTACCAAGCCAAGCCTGTCCGCCGTTCTACTCTTTCGCATGTGTCGGTCACTCTTGCTATTCCGTGGAGCGCTGTCTACATGCACATATTCCATCTTTTCCGTGATCTCGTCAGCATCGTCAAGGTCTTGATCAGGTTGATCATCCTCATCACTCTTGTGTCCAAGACGATCCCAAATGCTCGCAGCAAATCGACTAACAGGCTTGCTCACCTTCCTATTGTTTACGTCCTCGGCAGCAGCAGCCGCAGCTTTCAAAGCTATCATCATGGCTGGCGAGTTCTTTGCAGGTTTTGTTATAGCTGGCCGTGCCTTCAGCTTGCCATTCGAGTCCAACGGAGCGCCCGCATTTTCTACGTTTGAAAACCATGTCAGCTAAAAGGCAAGAGACAAAAGGTCAGAATTTTCGTACCGTGGTCAGCCGAGCCTGAAACAATAGATCTAAGCCGCTTTGTATTCGCGTCCGCCACCCTTCTAGAGCCACCAACTGGAGCCACGGCATCCCTGACTGCGAACTCAAGCAGCCTCCGAGAAGCTTTCAATCGTGGAGCAGGAGGAGCAGGAGGAGGAGGAGAAAGTCTCTCGATAGCCGAAGGCTTATCTTCCGCTCGACTTCGTCTCCTTCTCGCCCAACCCTCTGGAGAGCGGGAACGCTTTAGCTCTTGACGTAAGGCTTGCGGCTCCCGCTTTGTCACATGATTCTCCTCCTTTGCATTCTCTTGCGTCGGATTCTCCTTCTTCTCGTTCTCTCCTTTATCCTTAGCCTCCGGAGTATCCTAGAAAACGCAACAACGCACGTCAAAAACACTCACCAAAAGCAAGTCCATGTACCTTTGGTAGCGCATCGTTTGCAGCCTTCTTCTCGCCTGCTTTGGTGTAAACGTGCAGATTTTCTGTCAAGTGCTCCCAAAGCCTACAATCAAGAAAAAAAAGAGAGAATTTTTAAAACTGGAAACAGCCCGACAAACTTCTGGAAAACTTCTCACTTCCACTGCGCCGGTCTGGAATACAAAGGAAGACGAAACTTACCAGGACACAAACGCTTCGCTCTGAACGCCGAGAAATGCCTCGAGGTCCGCAGTAGCTTGCTTTTGCTGCTTTCCATGCCCAACCAGCACCACCACATACTCCTGCATTCCCTCCCCTCAATGAACAAACGGAGCAAAAGAAGCAGAGGCAAAACATACCGCAAGAACTTCGTCCGTGTAGCTCCCCATGAATTCCGAGAGCTTGGTCTGGACGGTGCCGCGTAGGAGATCCGCCCCAGCGCTGGAGACATCGAGCGGGAACGTCCTGCTATCGTCCGCCTGCTCGTCGGGCAGCGGCGGAGGAACAAGAGGCGGAGGAGGAGAAGTGGGAGGGGCGGTCGGCGCCTCCTCCGGCTGCAGTGCCTGCGCTTCCACACTAGCGCTCGCCATCGCGCCCTACGCCTGCCCTAAAAAAACCATGCCTGTGGAGCGCGCTCGCCTCCCGCATCCAGCGCCCTTCCTAGGGTTTGCAAAGCAAAGAAAAGGAAGCACCCCACGGTGGATATTCCGCTCGAGTGGGATATTCCGCTGCATGCCATTAGCGCCATTTTTTTCTGTGGATAAGATTATTTCCAGGCTACAAAAACTGGAACTCCAGCTTTCTTAATTGTGTTTAGCACTGTGCCCCGTCGTCCCCTGGATTACTTCTTCTTCTTTTCTTCTTCGTTTTCGCGCAATGGGTGTAGCCGATACGATCATTGGGATTTGCGGCAACATTGCCGCCCTCGTTTTGTTCCTCGTACCAGCGTGAGGACTTTTTCAATCAGATTATCACCTGCATGCATGCTGATCTCTTTTGTGGTGCTAATCGAATCAATCACCCCCAGGAAAACTTTCAACACGATCAGGAAGAAGAAATCCACCCTCGACTTCTCTGGGATACCTTATGTCACCACCCTGCTTAATTGCTTGCTTTGGGTCCTGTACGGCCTCCCCGTCAACAAGGGCAACGTCCTGGTGATGACGATCAATAGCTCCGGGATCGTCATCCAGACCGTCTACATTCTCCTCTTCCTCTACTATGCTTCGTCCTGGGCTGCTCGGGTGAGCCAAGGAAATATCTCTCCTTTTTTTGGGGTTTTTTCTTTCTTCTGGATGAAATAGTCATTGATGATCCTTGATTCTATTATGCAGAGAAAGATTTTGGGCATCTTCGTGTTTGATATTGTGGCCACGGCTGCATTGGGCGCAGGAGTGATCCTTGGTGTTCACAGTAAAGCCACCAGGATTACCATCCTTGGGATTTCATGCGTGGTTCTCAACATTGGAATGTACTATGCACCACTATCGGTTATGGTGAGATAAATTGATTTCCTTGGATCTTTGGGTATTGATCTTTGCGCTCTCTTTTGCAGTGGCTAGTGATCAAGACTAAAAGCAATGAATACATGCCTTTTCTATTGTCACTCATGGTGCTGATCAACAGCTCCTTCTGGACCATCTATGCCTTTTTGCTTATGGATATCTACATTATTGTAAGTTTGATTGTTAATAGCACTCTTAATCTTAGTATTTTGGATTCTTAGATTCCAAATACACTGGGGCTGGCTGGAGGAATTTTCCAAATGATCTTGTACTTTTGCTACCGCAAGCCTGCCCAACAAGTCGAAGGTGATACCCGCTCAACAAGCAAGGCTGATGTGGAGATCGGGAGAATGGAACAAAAGCAAAACTCTACCAGGACATTCTAGACTACTGATTCCAAGCAATAACATTGTTTGCCCATGGCAAAAGAATAATATCATTTTTTGTTGGACTATTTCTACTGATATTGGATGACAGATCTTTTGCTTTTTCTTGGCTGCGAGAGCTCCTATGGCGGATCAGGCACAAACACAGCAAACTAGCGCGCATTTGCGGCAGGCTGGTCCAGGGCGGCTGGTGGCGGCGTGGAAAGGGAGGCGGCGCGGGAGTCACAGTGCTGTTCAGCGCGGAGCGTGGCGTGCGCGATCATCTCGCAAAACTCTGACAGGTGGACAGCCTCGGATGATCCGGCCGCCTTGAACTTGCCGAGGAGCTCATCACCACTATGGCGTTCCGCCCGAGGGAGTGGAGTACGAAATGCGTGCTCCTCGCCAACATCTACGCAGCAGTGTATCTTTCTGCAATGTCTGGATCCACGAAGTTGCTCCTTACGTTACGCAGGGCTCTGCAAGCACGACCGGTGAGAAGGATGACGATCACCAGATTTAGAAGCTCGCTTCCCGTCTTATAGTTTTAAATCCAGCTCGGAGAGCTGTGACGATGATCCAGAAACTTTCATTGTGGAAAAGGAGATCGATACTCCTATCCAGCATATATTTGTAGCATTGATTTTCATGGCTGGAAAGATTGGTAGTAAGTTTCTATCGCTCTCATACAAATGTATGGTAAATGTGTTGCCTGCAAAGGGCATTTGCTGTATTATTGGGATTCCCTATGGCAACAAGCATTCGTGGAATCTTCCAACCTTACATAGAGTGTGTTTTCCTCTAGTTTTTAGAATTTGTTTTTAAAGTTATGGCCATTGCATCTAGCGCTATGGTGTTAGTGTCGCTTTAGATTTGTTTCACGACATGGCGTATTGACCAATGCGCTCGTTTTGAAAACGCAATAGAGACGGGCACTGGCGTACTATGGCGGCGATGTGGAGGACGCCAAGACGGCCTCGTGGAAGCCGAGAGAATGTTCGAAAGAATTCCGCAAAGAAGTGTGAGAATTCGGACCTCTGGGTTCATGGCGAGCAATTTGCGGAGAGCCAAGAGTGTGTTTGAAAAGATGCCGAGCTTGGACTGCCATGCTCGAAAGTTTTCCTTCTTCATGCGCTTCATGCCTCCAGGAAGAAGTAAAAGCTCATTTTGATGGAATGCCCCGGCTATGGAGCCGTTTTTGATCGCGTTCCACACTGGGAAATCTCCTCATTTGCGTCCATGATGCACGCCTTTACCGGAACGGGGGGCCAGGATCTTGTTCATGGAACACTGCTCTTTGGAAATACGTTGATCTTGGCACTAATGGAAAATGGTTTCTTTTAGTTTTTAGAGGGCGATCACGAGTCGATCTCACTGGGCAAAATGCAAGCGAGATCAACGAACATTCTCGAGGAATGCCTCAAGTTTTTCACTCCCGCGAGAGTAGCCAAAAATCTGGTGGGCAGGTTTTTGCTTCAAGTGTTTTAGAGATTTATTCCTTATTCCTGATTGGTAGGTGTGGCGCTCCAGAAAGTTTGAGCTCACAGGACTGAAGCCTCAAGAATTACGTGCTGAAAGACTCGCTGATTATCAGCAAGCCGGGGTTGGATCGTGGCTAGGAAGGCGTTGCTTTCGCTCACTGCACGACGTGTAAGTCTTCAGGCACCGGCTGATAGGAAATGGAAGCTAAAGTTTCGATTCTTTTCCATGATAAGTCTTTTCCGCCATAGCACCACCTTGAACTTTTGCTTTTTCTTGAAGATATGGTCGAATCAGAAAATCATATGTACGCCAAGGCCGATATGATCTTTGGTAAAAAGAATGGACGAACCTAGTTGAGAGATTGCCTGCGAGCAAAAGCTCGCTCGCTCGCTCGGATTCTCGTAAAGGGCACCTAGCCAGTGTATAAGCACGATAGAGAGGTAGTGGATAATCACAAAGAGCCTCCTCTTATCTCAAGGAAAAGAGACGTCCAATCCGGTCTCCATCCAGATCTTCCACTTCCCATTCATTACTGTGTACCTATAAACAAGTTTTACCTTGGCTAGCATTTGCTAGTGATAGTGCCGCTGCCAAGTTCTCTGGCACCATCGTCGCCACCAAAACGCTGTATCAGATCCCGACAATTGCAAAGAGCGCCAGGACTGCAAGACCGACGACGAGCAGCACCGGGGTTGTGCAGGTCTTTGCGAACGCCACGAAAAACATCCTCAAAGAGAAACGCACCTAAAGAAAAGAGTAAAGCTCTTGAAACAAAACGCATATATAGTAGAACTCGTATAAACTCTCGAATCCAAATGCTTTGAAAAAAGCATGATGACCAAGGCAACTGCTGGATCTACGAGCATTCCCTCGTTGGTAACTGGAACAAAGTTTCAGGATCTTATCTTCCAACAGCATGGCCATGGGAAATCAAAAATATTTCTACCATAATCATCTTAAGCATCGAGGCTTCTACTGATCGAAGTATGTACCTTCGAGAGAGCCTTGCTGTGATTGTTCTTCCGGGTTCTCGACGTCCAAATCCAAGAGCAGGCTCCTCCGGAAAGCCCGCCGCAGCGTTCTCGACTCAAGCGGCCTGATGCCCCGCTCCAGGTCTCGTTCTCTTTTCACAGCCATCAATCGAGAGAACTGTCCACAAATCGACATTCAGCACCCATAGAGACTCTTCCCACCAAGCTTACTCTGATTTGGAGACGACGATACGTCCGGGGCTTATGCAGCCTCTCCCCCTCTTTCAAGGAACGCATTGCCAAGAGCTTCTCCCTGACGCCTTCCAGAGCCTCCTCAATGGCTCCATCAGACATTTTTCGTATTTCGTCCATGGGCTGCTTCATGCATACCAGCTTGAGCGGCGAAGACGATGCAGCTGGAGCGTAGCAGACATTCTTAGCACCAGTCGCCACACACTGCGTAGGAGAAAAGAAAAAAAGAAATGTTAGCAAACTTTAAGAAGCAGAAAGAACCCAGCTTACAGGATTGAAGAAGGCGCATGCCATCGCTCCTAGCTCCTTGGAGAACCCTAGAGAATAAATGCACAGTAACGACAAGCCGCTGTCATAAAACGAAAAGAAAAAAGGACAAAGAAACCACAGCCTAAGCTCTAGAGCTCCACATTCTTGACGACATCCCAGAGTGACTGAGCAGACTCCTTGAGTTTGAGAACCTCGTTCTCGGTGAGAGTCTGTTCCACGATATGAAGAACACCGTTCCTCCCAAGAACACACGGCAGGCTGAGGAACACATCGTGCTCAATGCCATGCCTCCCTTTCGCTATGATTGACACCGGATGGATCGCCTTCTCATCTCTGCATGCAGCACGACAAAGGCCATCAGCCACAAAGACATAAAAGAAAGAGTTGGCAATTCATTACCGAATCAAGCTGTGAACGATGTCCGCAACGGATGCCCCAATAGCCCAGTTCGTGTAGCCTTTGAACTTGATAATTTCGTAAGCGGACTTCACCACCTGTTTCAAGCGGACGAGATGAAACAGAGTAAGAAAATCCTGCTGGTACACTCTAACCTCTTGGTTGATCTTTTCAGCCTCGCTTTCAAGCCCTTCTTTCTCAATAAAATTGAGAAGAGGCACCCCCGCAACGTTGACGCTCGACCAAACAGGGACGCTGCTATCACCGTGCTCGCCTATGATGTAGCCGTGCACGTTCTTTGAGCTGACATCCATACGGCTGGATATCAGAAACCTGAATCTCGACGAGTCCAGATTCGTGCCACTTCCTGCAGGATCAAAATCTCTTAGAAGATGAAAAGACACATCAACTTACCAAGCACCCGGCTCGCAGGAAGTCCCGAGATCTTCCAGGAGACGTAAGTCAAGATATCCACGGGGTTCGAGACCACCAATAACAGCGTGTCAGGACTGTACTTGAGTAGTTCGGGAATGATCTTCCTCAGCAGCTCTACATTGCTTTGGACCTGTAATAGAGAAGTCACTACAAATATCTCTATAGATCTTCGCTTACCAGAGCAAGCCTAGATTCATCGTGACTCTTTTGTTTCGCCCCGGCCGTGATGATGCAAATCTGAGAGTTACGTGTATTCCTGCCCAAGCAAAACGTCAGAAAAACTACTGGCGCTTGCAAAAAGAATTACGCGTAATCGGTGCTCGCACAAATGTCAACATTTGGATTGAAAGCTGCCGCATGCTGCAAATCCATCATCTCGCCCTTGAGCTTATCTCCCATAACATCAATGAGAACTAACGAGCGGCACAATCTCTGTGCAGTAAAACCTCAGATGAGATAGACAATAATAAACAAGAAACAAGACAAAACCTTCGACAAAATGGATGTAGCGCAAGCCATTCCCACGTTTCCAACTCCCACGACGGTGACTTTTGTGACATCCCTTTGAACGATGTCAGCCACAGCCATGCCTCCTAGCAAAACCAAAAAAATAGCGGAAGCCGTCAATGCGTCGAAGGATTGGATCACACCTGGGACTGGTTTGAAAAAATGCCACACTTCTTGCTGCTGCCGCCCCATCGCTGCTGCTCCAGACGCCAGCTCCCAAGTCCCAACCCCAAGAACCCCTTTTTGTCCCTCGCAACTTGACTCGTGGCAGCAACTAACAGTCTTGCGGATCTCGGCCGTCGATTTTGATCGCCACTATATGCTGTCGATCAATGGAGCGCACCTATCTGGGCGATCGCCAGCAATTGGAGCTCAGATCGTACCTCCGCCTCGTCAAGAGCTGCAAGGATCTCGTCCAGGCGCACCACATTCACGCCCAGATCGTACTAACAGCGCATAGCCACGACCGTCTGCTGCTAAACTCGCTGATAGAGATGTACGGCAAGTGTGGCGACGTGGCTACGGCCAGGAGAATCTTCGATGCCATCCCTTCCCGGAATGTCTACTCGTGGAACATCCTGCTGGCAGCATATTCCCAGAATGGGCACCTGGAAGAAGCCATGGAACTCTTCCAATCGATGAAAGAAAAGGACTGTACCTCTTGGAATTCGATGCTCACGGCCTTTGCTCGCGCAGGAAATTTGGAGAGCGCGAGGAGCCTCTTCGATCAGATTCCGCGACGAGACGTGGTGTCCTGGAATGCGATGATCGCCACCTTCGCCAAGAACGGGGACAACATTCAGGCCTTGCGTTTGTTCCGATTGATGTGCCTCGACGGCTGCAAGACGAGCGAGATTACCTTCGTGAATGCGCTAGATGCGTGTGGAAACGCTGAAGATCTGGAAGAAGGACGCCGCCTGGACAGGATTATCACCGAGAATCGCCTGGATTGTGGAGTGGAGCTTGGGACGAGCCTGGTGGACATGTATCACCGCTGCCACAGCCCTGACGATGCCAAAATCGCGTTCCAGAGAATGCCGTTCAAAGATCCAATCGCCTGGACCGCGATGATCCAGGTCCACTCGCAATGCGGGGAGCTGGATCAAGCGCGAGAAATCTTCGACATGAGATTACGACAGCCCCGGCCAGTCGCATCCTGGAACGCGATGATCGCTGCGTATTCCCAGAAGGCCCGGATTACCGACGCCAAGAACCTGTTCGATGCGATGCCCGATGCCGATCGCGATGTTGTGACCTGGACGACGATGATCTGGGCCTATGGCGAGGCCAAGAACGCCGATGCCGCTCAAAATCTCTTCGATCGCTCTCCACATCGGAACTCTATCACCTGGAACGCGATGGCGGCCGCGCATTCCCAGTGCTGCCAATCGCGCCCAGCCTTTGCCCTCCTGCAAAGGATGGATCTGGATGGAGTGGAGCCAAACGCCGTGACAGTGATCAGCGTCTTGGACGCGTGCGCGGGCGCCACAGACCTCGCTACCGGCAAGAACGTCGATGCCATCACAGCTCACGAGCCTTTCCATCGCGACGTGGTGGTATCAACGGCCACGATCCACATGTACGGGCGGTGCGGGAGCCTGGCCATGGCGAGGGCCGTACTAGCCGCCACGCCACGCGAAAACCTCGTGACGTGGACTGCCATGGTGTCGGCATATGCCCACAACGGGCATAGCGGCCAAGCGCGGGAAACTTTCCAGACGATGACATGCGAGGGATTTCCTGCTAACTCAGTCGCCTTCGTCAGCATTCTTAACGGCTGTAGCCACGGGGGCCTCCTCGACGATGGCGTCCACTACTTCGTCACCATGGTCGCCGAGTATGGAGTTTCTTCCAAGCTGGATCACTTCGTTTGCCTGGTCGATCTTCTCGGAAGGGCTGGAAAACTAGAAGCCGCCGAGGAGCTTGTGAATTCGATGCCTTACTGCCCAGACTTCGTGTCCTGGATGACGCTTCTAGCGGCTTGTAAAACTCACAAGGATGTGAGACGAGCCGAGGCAGTAGCACGAAACGTTGTCGCGGTTGATCCCAAGGACTCGGCCGCCTATGCGCTACTCTCGGCTGTCTAGAGAAACGAGGAACTCAAGGTAAGATATCACGTACCAAGCCATATAAAGAATCACTTTACTGAGAAAACCGGGATTTCTATTGTCTGTATGTTGGAACCCCGATGCCTGGAACTGGAGGAGGAGGTCTCCTGGTTGGAGTTCTTCGAGAAGAGTCGCCGTTTTCTAGAGCTTCACCGCGGTGGGGTGTTAAAGATCTGCGCGAAGACGAAGAAAAGCCGCTTGGTGTTCGAGGAGAGGGAGAATTGGCTGCTTCTTCAAATGCTACTCTCCAATCGTCTCCACCGTGATATCCTGCGGCGAAACTTTCTCATGAGCTCAACACGTATGAAATATATAGAGGCAAACCATTTTGCGTTCCCTCGATGTATCCGTTGCTCATTGTCACTCGCGCCTCGTTGTTGCTCAATTGTCTTACAAGTCGCGACAGTACCGAGGCTTGGCGCTCGCACCGCTCTCTTCGACGTTTTACTTGAGCATCCTCTTGCAAGAGCTCTTTTATAGTCGGAGTAGGAAGTGCACTGTATGGCGGAATGTTAGAAGAAGGATAACTAAGGAGAACTCCACAACCTTATGGACTTGTACAGCGTGCTGAGCATTGAATCCTTGGACCTTTCGACCTGACAAAATATTGCTGCCTGCAGCGATTTTTAGTCCAGCATTCACAAACAAATTGCCAGCGTACCTTGGGGATGTTTGCTGAAAGACTGTTCATTACTGCCTCCACGTAATCACGAACTTCTTGAGCCATGATCCGAAGCTCTTCTTCTGGATCTGCTCTTCTCGTAATGACAGTATCCTGGATGCAACAAAGTTAGCACCCGAAAGAGGCAAACGTCGGGTTCATACCAATGCACCATCAGACATGCTCGTTCTCAAAGGAGTCACCACTTCGACTACTGCTTTTGACGAACCTTTCCCTTGATCAGTACATTGTCTCAACTTAGTCATCCATTCCGTTTTTTCTGCCATAGATTCAGCCTTGAGAACAACAACATGTTGAGCTGCAGTAAAAGTAACAATTCAGTCTCATGTAGCAGTACATAATGATCTACCTTTGAGAACAGTCTTATAAGCAACCTTGTTGCTTATTTTAATGGTGAGATTAGGCTCGGGGCCATTGGCTTGTTTTGAAGCCTCTTTAGACTTAGAAGGACGTCCTTCTGCCAATTCTTCCTCAGACAGCTCTTCAATCAAACATTCCTGAAATTACAAACAATAAGCAGGCGAAGACAAATGCATCGTATATACCTCAAGGTTGATAACTCCTTGGAAACGCTTATCGTCAGGTTTTTTCATGTATCCAAGCTAAAATGCAAAAACTATAAAATCAGATCCAATAACAGTACATTACTTACTTTATTTGACTTTTCATTCAGAACAAACCATCGCTTATTCCATGTATCTGCACTTGTAGCACTTCTTTTTGACAAATAGCCTTCACAAAAGCTTATCAGAAACAGCAGGTGACAACATAAACAGTTACCAGTTTTATCTTTCTCCGCGCCTGAACTCTCCGGCACGTCCTTTCCATCGCCGTCCTTTGCGGACTTTAAAGACCCGTTAGCTTGAGCAGCAGGGTTATATGATGACTGCATGAAAGTTACTCAGTAAAAATATATAGAAGTGCAGAGGCTTACTTTGTTAAGAATTGCCTGTTCGGCTTCCTGTGCTTTTTTCATCGTTTTATTCTTCACTTCATCCTCTCGACGAACTCTATCAAGCCTGTACACTAAAAAGCGTAAAGAGCCTGTCCGTTGGTTAACCGACTTCTTACCTGCGTTGCACAAGCCGCGTGAAATGTTGAGGTGGAATATAAGCTCTTTCCATGTCCACAAGATCAACGACCATCCTTTTAGCTTCTGTACGGTATTCATCGAGCGCAGAACTCGCAACAGATATCATCTGTAAGAAGAATATTTTAGACGTTGCGCTTCAAAAAAGTGAAAAGAAGAAGATACCTCGCGTTTTAGAGGTGGAAATCTTCCTAAACCAGGAGTAGCCGATGCTGCGGATGAAACGATATCAACTAGAACTCTGTGCACCTTTACTCCGCAAATATCAGAAGTTTTTGACAACATTCAAGCTTTATAATTACCTCATCAACGCAGCTTTTAGCTGGATCCTTTGCTAGGTCCAATGCTCTACGAATAAGCTCCCGCAAACCTTTCTCAGGTGACAGAAGATAAGGCAGATATCCATCGGCCTCCAAGACGACCTGTAAAAAATGTTTAGCATGGTACAGGAAAACACGTGCTCGGTCACCTTTTTCAAACCATTCAAGTCAAAGAGCTCCTGAAGTGGAAGCTGTTTTATTCTATTTGGTAGCGTTCCTTCAAAACTCGTAACAACCTTATAACTTCCTCCCTGTATATAACGTAAGCATATGGAGATTAAAAGATTAAAGTCAGAGCTCACCTCTCCACTGTTGATATGCTCCAAAAACTTGTCCTCAAATTCACGGCAAAGCTCTAGTGCTACCGCACGTGTACCTTCTTCCGTTTCTACCATCTTTTCACCAAGTCTTACCAGCTCTTCCTCCACGTCTTGTGACCTCCCTTCCAGACTGAACACATTGCAGACGAAAATTATAACCATTAGCTACAGACTTTGAAGAAACCTGGAAAGGAGGCTGGGAAGACGCTGTTGCATCCGTTGCCGAATCTGCTTCGCAATAGCCTCTACTAACGAAGATCTTCCAAGTCTACTTGACGATGCCCCGCCAAGAATGGATTTTAAAGACTCCATTTCCGCCTTCCAAGCAGTTTCCAAAGAATCGTCTTTGGAATGAGCTCCAGCAATCGAGACGGATTGACCAATCAAAGCTATCCATGTGAACTTAGATGTGATCGACGGCCCTTGTCCGGATAGAACAGCTTGAACTGCTGCTAAGCTTTTGGGATCCGAAGCCGCTTGGTCAATCTTGCTGATGACACCAACAGTTCTTGAGCCTACAAATACGAAAAGAATTAAGCTAGAAACCCGTACTGGCACAAGAACAAACCTTCATGGTCGATATCCTGTGCAATTTTCAGGGCCTGCGATCCCGTTATATCCCGCACAGAAGTAGCAGGAATCACAACGAGCAGAAGAGCATCGTTGCTGTCGATGTACTCGCGGACCTGCAATATCAAACAATCAACTGTGACTAAGATAACAAAGATATGATTTGTTACCAGGGAATCGCTAACTGATCTACTCTCAAGCCCAGGCAGATCGACCAGCTTCAGGGGTGGTGCTACATAAAGAGCTTAGTTAGCGTAACATTTCGAATCGGTTGCTACATCTACCTGAAGAACACTTCAATTTCAAATGGATATTTTCCTTCACAGCACCGGTTGACATTCTGCCAAACTTGTTTTGAAGAGAATGTCGTATGTCGGCTGGAGTAGACAAAACACATTAGATTCTCGTACAAAGACAAAGCTTCCTTAGCCAGCTTACTTGCAGAAACTTGCATAGACTTGCCCTCCATCTGTACTGTAAGCCCTCGTTTATTTCCTGAATCGTCAGCTTCCAGGTCGATAGTCACAGGTGCACGGGTTGCCCCATTCTCTCCGGTTGGCTGCACAAGCAAAAGAGACTTTTCATCCGAGATGGAAAAAAAAAGAACTTACCAGCACTGCGTAGCCAATCAAGCTGTTTAGAACCGCTGACTTTCCAGCGCCCTGCATTCCACAAATCTAAGAGAGATACAGTCGAAAACCAATTGAGTACTCACAGTGTTACCAAGAGCTACCACGCTGAGAAAACTCGAGTACTGGTCCAGCGATTCTTCTCCTTCCTGATCGGATAGAAGCGCCGATGCCTGCTGCATCGACTCCGCCAAAACGCGAAGATTCTCCATCTTGGCTCACTAGCGCCAAAAAATCTGGTCTATCGCTCAAACCTAGAACTAAATCTCCCCCATTCTACATCCTAGAAAGAATCGAGGAGCCAGAATTTCGCTCACCCAGCTAGGAAATCCGGCATTTTCGACCTCACAGAAGCGCCGATCCAGCAAAGATCCAGAGCCAGGCGCAGCCGCCTGATCCCAGCTCACAGTACCGATCCCGCTAGGCCCAGCTCCAAGCGCCTAGATCTAGCCCTGCCCTGCCGATACGGTCTTACTTTTCGACGAGCTAGGGATTTGCCCCGAAAACATTGCCGCTCGATCGCAAGCAAGGGTTTTATTGAAACACATAAAAAAAAATCTCTTAAACACACGCTAAAACAAAACATCCAGTGTGAACGGATCCCTACGTTTGAATTTGGACGGCCAGGATGCGTGGATACCACCAAACGTTGGGCAATCTGGAGCTTTCCGGCGATTTAAATGGAATTTTCCAAATGCTCCACTGGATCTTCTCGTAAAGCCACCATCATTACGAGAAATTCCGAGAGGGAATCCTCGTTTTTAGAGAGCAAAGTGATTAACCATGGTTTTCGAAAAAGAATTTGATCTTAGAACACGATGGCCATGAGGATGTCTCCAGATCACTTGGTTCTCGAATTTTGTCACGAGCGACTCCCCGGCCATGCGATTAAAGTTCTTCCTTCCGGTGTGGTTTCAATGCGTTTCACTTGATCAGTGTGAGTATTTTATGCTTGCTTTTGTCACGAATTGTGCGGAGCGAAGCAGCCACGAAGATTTTCCCGAAGGAAAAAGGAAGAACTCGCATTCTTCCGGATAGTAAGAAAAATTTGCAAAAAACTCCATGGGTCGGAATATGACTCATACTTCGAGACACACAGACGGGTCATCAGATGCATACTCTACAACCCAAGAAGTACTTACCTCACAAACTCACTGCTATATAAAGTGGAAAATTTCATCTTCGCTTGAGCATGTGGGATAGGGCAGCTTAGGGCAGTTTAGTATAAGAGAATATGCAAGATCTTTATATAAGATCTTGCCACGTGGCTAGTTCGTATCGACGGTAGAGATTGTCGAGGGCTTTTTTCAAACCCAAGCTCCCGGCGCATTGCGAAGGCGCGCATTGTCTTCAATCTTGGAGCTCCTAGGGTATGGTGGAAATCCCCAGGAGTCTAGGATTTCGTCCTGAAATTTCATCTTCGATGTCCAGATCGATCAATCCAGTGGCGCGGCCGGCAATGTCGAGCTGCGGCATCTACATGGTTTTACCCAAGGATCGCGATGAGTCCTCGCTTTCGGAATCCCTGCTCGCTCGCTATCCGTCCATGCCGAGGTATCCTCCCTCTCCGCCCAGGCGGGACATCGACGCCGCGCAAACCCAGAGCGTGTCCTTCAAGGTAACTGGCATGGAATGCACTGCCTGTGCCGGATCTATCGAGAAGGCCCTCAAGAGGCTCCCGGGCATCAAAGAAGCGGCTGTGGCAGTGATCCAAGAGAAGGCCCAGGTCGTCTTTCATCCAGCGTTTGTTCAAGTAAGTGTTTATTTTTTTTTTAAGCGAAGAACTTTGGTCTTATATCTTTGTTGCCTTGTTCATTCCAGGTAGAGACTATCCGCGAAGCCATTGTTGACGCTGGATTCGACGCGACCGTCTTGAAAGATTCTATCGAGCAGTCGCGCAACTCAGTGTGCCGGATCCGGGTGAGAGGTATGACTTGCACGTCGTGCTCGGGTGCCATTGAGGCGGCGCTCAGGAAAATCCCAGGGGTGGTGAGTGCGGTGGTGGCCCTTGCGACCGAGCAAGCCGAAATCTTTCACGACGCCAGCGTGGTTAGCTACTCGAAACTCATCGAAGCCGTGGAGGAGGCTGGCTTCGTGGCCGAGCTGGTGAGCGCTGGAGAGGAAAGAAACAAGGTCCATTTGCAGCTGGAAGGTGTGCATTCACGGGAAGGCTTTAGAAACATCGTTACCTCGCTGGAGGCTCTGGCTGGGGTGACGGAGGTGGAGCTTTTTCTCAAGGAGGAAAGGCTGGTGGTTTCTTACGATCCCGACTTAACAGGCCCGCGATGCTTCATAGAGATTATCGAGCAGACAGGACCGGCGAATGTATACAAGGCGAGTTTGGCTATGGGAGCAGACCGTCGAGCAGATATGAAGAGCGAGATCAAGCACTATTGGAATCTCTTCTTATGGAGCATTGTCTTCACGGTTCCGGTGTTCTTCCTGGGGATGGTGTTTATGTACACTCCGGGCACGATGAAGAGATACGTCGGGTGGAAGGTGATCAACATGCTCACCGTCGGGCAGATACTGAGATGGAGTTTGTCTACGCCTGTCCAGTTCGTCATCGGGTGGCGGTTCTACGTTGGGGCTTACAATGCTCTACGCCATGGTTCGGCCAACATGGACGTTCTCATAGCTCTCGGGACGAATGCTGCGTACTTCTACTCCGTCTACTCCGCTTTAAGATCTGCGACGTCTGACTCGTTTGAAGGGACGGACTTTTTCGAGACGAGTTCTATGCTCATATCGTTTATTCTTCTGGGGAAGTTCCTGGAGGTTCTGGCCAAAGGGAAAACGTCTGAAGCCATCGCGAAGCTTATGAATCTCACGCCTGATACGGCCATTCTCCTGACGCTGGACGAGAAGGGAAACGTTACTTTCGAGCGAGAAATCATTACGCAGCTCGTACAACGGAACGACGTCGTCAAAGTTTTGCCTGGCTCCAAAGTGCCAACTGATGGAGAGGTGATTTGGGGACAGAGTCATGTGAACGAGAGCATGATCACTGGTGAAGCCCGGCCGGTCGCAAAACGAAGTGGTGACAAAGTCATTGGTGGGACTATGAACGAAAACGGAGTGTTACATGTCCGCGCAACGCATGTTGGATCTGAGACGGCTCTTGCGCAGATAGTTAGGCTGGTGGAAGCGGCACAGATGGCTAAAGCTCCCGTTCAAAAGTTTGCTGACCGTATATCTCAATACTTCGTTCCCATGGTAAGCATCCGCTTTTTGCTGAACATAACATGCTCGTGGTTTATTTTCCAGGTTGTTGGCGCATCAGTTCTCACATGGAGCTTCTGGTTCTGTGCTGGGAAAGCTAGCTGGTATCCCAAGTCTTGGATCCCACCGAGCATGGATGAATTTGAGCTAGCACTTCAGTTTGGTATTGCTGTGCTTGTCATTGCTTGTCCTTGCGCCTTGGGGCTGGCCACGCCTACTGCTGTCATGGTTTCAACTGGAAAAGGAGCCACGCAAGGCGTCCTTATCAAAGGTGGTGCTGCTTTGGAGACAGCACGCAAGGTAAGAAGTTCACTTAATGCGAGATAACATCAGTATGCTAAAACGACTTCCAGGTTGACTGCATTGTGTTTGACAAAACGGGTACTCTCACGAAAGGAGAGCCGAGTGTTGTTAACACGAAGCTATTTCGGTACATTGCTCTGAAGGTCTTCTTCAGCATTGTTGCTAGTGTGGAGGTATTGAGAAAGATATTGTCAAAAGCAATTTAACAAGGTGGTTTTATCGCAGGCCAACAGCGAGCATCCTCTGGCCAAGGCAATAGTTGAATTCGCAAAAGGTCTGAGACTTCAAGAACCACTCGAGCAGCACCAAGTACAGGACTTTAGAGCTGTTCCTGGTCAGGGAGTTCAAGCAGTGGTGACCGGAAAACGAGTTTTGGTGGGGAACTACAAGCTCATATCGGAGAACGGCATTTCACTTCCTCCGCAAGCCTCAGAGCAGCTCCAAGACGTTGAGGTGCTGGCCAGGACCGCCGTGCTGGTTGCGATCGACGGAGAACTCACGGGCCTTATCTCGGTCGCAGACCCGATGAAACCAGAGGCACCGGCCGTGATCTCCACGCTCAAGCTGATGAACATCAAGAGCGTCATAGTGACTGGAGATAACCGAGGCACAGCTCTCGCCGTTGCTAGAGAAGTTGGCATCCAGCCGAAAGACGTCATCGCCGAGGCCGATCCCAAAGCAAAGGCTGACAGAGTGAAGGAGTTGCAAGTAAGTTCTTAAGTTTGTTCTTCCTCCAGCTAAACTTTCTCGTTTGCTCAGAGCGCGGGCATGGTGGTCGCGATGGTCGGAGATGGTATCAACGATTCCCCGGCTCTGGTTGCCGCGGACGTTGGAGTGGCCATCGGTGCCGGCACCGACATAGCGATTGAGGCGGCGGACATTGTCCTCATGAAGAGCCACCTGGAAGACGTGGTCACCGCCATCGACTTGTCCAGGAAAACGTTCTCGAGGATTCGTCTTAACTACGTGTGGGCTCTGGGATACAACGTCCTGGGAATTCCAATCGCGGCCGGGGTGCTCTATCCTTGCTCGAGATTCCGGCTTCCACCATGGATCGCCGGTGCCGCTATGGCCGCCTCGTCCGTGAGCGTGGTTTGCTCCTCGCTGCTACTCAAGTATTACAAGCGACCAAAGAAACTGGAGCTCATCGTCCACTAGCGATAATAATAATCTCGAATATTCCAAACAATTCGAAGTATCTTAAATATTCTACAAGATTCGATTCTAATAATCTCGAATATTCAAAACGATTCGAATAGTCTCAAGCATATTCTAAAACGATCCGAATCTAGAAGTTATAATCGCGAATATTCAAAACGATTAAGTTATACAGAAGAAACTTTAGATCACGACGAAGGTTTGTCAACCGGGGTTTCGCGCGGATCCGCCCTGAGCGCCTGCTCGATCTTCTCCACCGGGACGAGCGGGATGTAGCCCGACAGTGGGACGTTGCGATCCTTGAAGGTGGAGACGATCTGGTTGAATTTCTCGGCGCCGAAGAGCGCCGAGGGAGCTACCAGATCGATGAAGCGCGGGACGCCCGGGAACGTCTTGAGCTTCTTGAGCCCCTCGATCGTCCACGCCTCGGCGATGGGCTCGTACTTGACGTAGTAGACGCGCGCGGACTCGTAGAGGCCGTTCTTCTGGACGTCCGCGACCACGGTCTTGGCGGCGTCGGGCGCCTGCTTGGCCACATCGAACGCGCGCTGGGTCGTGTCCTTGACTACCGGAGGAAGCCTTTGATCCAGCACAACGAGCGTCTCCCCGACCTGGATTGGAGAAAACGCTCTCGCGTTAGCAAAGATCTCGAAACCTTCCTATGGATCGGGTACCTTCTTGTCCAGGAACTCGAGGAATTCCGTGGGCTTGCCCTCAAACTTGTCATAGACAGGACCCACGACTGTTTTCACGGTTCCTTCGATGCTATCCACGCCGGGCTTGAGCGGCCCGGAATTCTCTTTCGCGAGCTCGTAGATCGTCGCGACATAGCCAGTGGCCTTTTGCCCGGCCGCTTGGAAGCATCCCAGATACCTAAGCTTGGGCGAGGATACTTCTTCCTCCTGTAGAAACCAATCGATCAATCGATCAATCAATCAATCAATCAATCAAGAGAAAAAAGTAGTGTGATTCTAACGCTATGATGCATTGCATTGCTTTGTAACTTACCTCGATCACCTCCTGCTGCTGCTGCTGCTGCGCATGATCCGTCGCCATAGCTAAAAGATTGATCAATAGATTCGATTAAAAGCAAAAAAATGGGGAAAATAGGGTTTTAAGAGAACCAATCACGCGCTACACGCCCTCTAGAGCCTCACCGCCACGGCTAGCCAGTGACTGCGAAGAAAGAGCTGCACAACCCAGTTAGGGCGACCGCCATTTACGTGTTTCTAGAAGAACCCAACACGTGGAAAAATATCTTTGACTCTTTTAGTGGACTGTAAATTAATTTAACTTAGTTGACTATTATTTGACTAGCTATCGACTCTTAGAGCTTGTGGAACGTAGAGACTGTCACTGTGTCGCGGATCCAACTAATGTACTCCACGGCAGATTTGTGGACCTCGGTCTCCAGCTCCTGAGGATGCGATTGGATGTAGCTCCAGAACTTTGGAGAGCCTGGGAACCCCATGTTGTCCGCGAAGATCACGCTCCCTTCGTCGATGAGACCCTTCTCCTTGAGCAGCAAGTAGTCCGGCAAGTACAAGTCTTTATCGTGATCCACGAACACGAAATCGAAGCACTGCCCGTTCGTCTTGGCCAGAGTCGACTTTATGGTGTCGATCTGACGGCTCAGTGGCGCCAGCAGCACCTCCACTTTGGACGAAAGCCCTGAAAGAAAGTTTGACGTGCTCGCCACGAAAGAAAAGCAAGAAGCAAACCTGCGTGGTCGATGATCCTTCTAGCGATGTCAGCGATGTGAGGAGTGAGCTCCAGCGAGATCAGCTTGCTGTCGGGGTGTTTGAGATTTGCTGCCATTCTCACAGCCGAGTAGCCACAGTAAGTTCCGAGCTCGAGAACGAGCTGAGGATTCTTCTTGGCGATTGACGAGTCCAAAATGCGGCCCTTTTCCTCTCCAACGTTCATAAACCAGGTGCCGGAGCGTGCAAATTCGTCCACAGCCTGTATAACCGACTGGGGGTTACCTCGTTCCGCGTTTTCTAGCACATACTCCAGCAGCTGTTCCTCCCTGCCATCACCACCCCAGCCATGGAAGAAAAATCCCCCCATGAACTTTCCGAACGACAGGAAAGTGACGACTCCCTTCCACATGACTGACGTGCAAGCCCTCAATCCCCCCTTCCTGCTCAAATCACAAATACATCAGATCCAGAGAGAAACCTTTCAAAACCTTCTCACGAGAGGCTGGCAATATGTGGGACCAAAACTCCACTGTCCTTTAAGTAACTTCAGTCACGACTCACGACTGAGATGGGCTTTTTTCTTTTTTTTTCTTTGGCAGGCTGATCGAAAAGGAAAGGTAGCTACCTAGAGAACTGCAGTTGAGAATGGTAGAAAGCATTTGAAACAAGAAAGAAAACGCTGTAGCTCACTTACCATTCATCCACGAAAGGTAGATATGGCGACTGTATCATTGATCCAGTCAAGATACTCCACCTTCGTTTGATGGTACTCCGTTTCTAGCTCCTGGCCCTCCCCTCTGTGGAGATAGTTCCAAAACTGTGGCGAGCCCGGGAATCCCATGTTATCCGCGAAGACTACAGAGCCATCTCCAATGAGCTTAAAGTTCTTGAGCAGTAGATAGTCTTCCAAGTAGTAATCCTTGCTATGATCCATGAAAACAAAATCTAAGGAGGAGCTCTTGAGCGCAAGCTGGAGAGCTTCGATCTGACTGCTCAAAGGTCCCGGAAGCTGATGGATCTGAGAAGACAGGCCTGGAGATATTCAAAGTGAGGAATGTACAGACAAAGAATGGCCCTACCTGCGTGATCGATAATCTGCCTGGCAATGTCGGCATAGCGAGGATTGATCTCCACAGTGAACAGCTTGCTGCCTGGAATCGCCAGCTGGGACGCGATCCTCACGGCCGAGTAACCGCAGTAGGATCCGAGCTCCAGCACGAGCGCCGGCTTTCTCTTCTGGAGCGCGGCATCGAGAATCTTACCCTTGCGATCGCCGATGGACATGAACCAGGTGCCCGATTTCGCAAACGCATCCATGGTTTGGATCACAGACTCTGGATTCCGCTCGGCATTCTGCAGCACATGATCCATCAGCTTCTCCTCGCGGCCATCGCCGGCGCCACAGCACGGGATCCTTCTGCTCGTGTAAGAGAAAGCGAAAGAGGCGAGCATACGAACCTCGTTCCACCACATTCTAGAATATACTTCCCTAAAAGGAAAGTCTCTAGGTCTTAATATTTTGGCCTAAAAGTTGATAATATCTGCCCTAAAAGTTTGGCGCTTCTCGCTGATGACTGTCGTTTCTCAGGCGGATGGTCTCAAGCCAGATCCAGATGTTGTGCATGCTTAGAGGAACTCTAAGAATTCTTCCCGATGATGTTGCAGCTCATTTGTCCTTTGTATTTGACATTCCTGCCAGCTTCAAATTTGCCATTTGGGGAAGCTGCCTTTGAAGGTGAATTACCAGATGCTGAGATCCTATCATCTGCTGATAAGCAAATCAAAGCTTATCCAAGTGTAAATCTGATCCTCGTAGAGGAAAGGAAAAATAATAATGTCATCATTTCCCACTGTTGACTATTTCAAAAGAGAATGAAAGTACTCGCACTAGTGGGAGAATATTCTTCAAAATCTTTTAGAAATGGCTGTACTCCGTTTTGGAGTGCTGAAATTTGAAAATCTTGCAAAACCACTAGGGAGGGAAAAATGTATAGATCCATGGTATAATCACTTTTTTTTGAGATGCCTTTACTTTTAATTTTACCTTCCCCACAGGATATAATATGAGGATCAGATTAATGCCTCTCCTAGCACCATATAACCATTACAGTGGCACTTGCTAGTATGCTTGAACAAAGGCATGAGTTGGACACTGACTTGGAAATGCAGAGTGCATCAGATATCAATGATAAGGAGGTATCAATGATGAGCTTAGAGTTTACAAGCCCATCAGCAAAGACATAGCTGAAAACCTCATTGAAGATAAAGACCTAGGGGCCAGCACTAAACCCTAAACCCTAAACTGGCAAAAACATGGGTGTAAGGGATAAAATGGTAAATAGGAAGGAGACCCATGGATCAAATGGGTGAATGGGGATTGGGAAGTTATTCAATATAGTTTCATTTAAATTCGCCATGAGGTTGAAGAATGATATGATTGTAATGTCAAAAACCTTCAGGCAGCTATTCAATTAGGGTGTCAACATGAATCATAAAAATTTGATGAAAAGGTCTTTATGGCAGGCCATGGTGGACTTATTGTGTGGGCCATGCTTCCCATTTGTTCAGCTTGTAAAAACATGCAGAAGAGAGGTGTTGCATTCTACTACAAGGTGATGGTATGGGCATTGAGATAAGGTACGTGATACTAAAAGGCATGGAGAAAGTTAAGGAGTTTGTATTTCGGGTGTGAGTTACTTTCCTAGATGACCTCTTCTGAAGGCATCATCATCCCAAAGACCTTGGCTTACCTATAGAGGAAGAAGTTGAAGCAACTAGAGAAGCCAGATGAAGAAGGGTAGTCTACTAAATGGCAAAAAGCCATGTGGACAATAGCTAGGATGGTAAAAATAAGGTGATATTGCAAACCTAGCTGATATGATGGACCTTGACTCCTTATAATAATAGCTTACTGAAACTAAAATATAAATAAGGTGTAGTATTTGTGTCCAAATTTGTCTTTCATTCCTTGTGGAGCTTTACAATACTGGGAGTTATTAAGCTAAAGGTTGTTTTGATCATGTCAATGCCAACATTAATAACGTTCGCACTAATATTTCATGGGATAATGCAACTCTCAAGGAGTATTTCCACCATAAGAATTTATGATGATATTAAAAATCTCATGCTTTCTCATCCAAATCTAACATTTTTCACAATTACAAGAATGATGATTAGAGTGTTGTTATCAAACTTTTGTTCTTTGTTCAACTGCCTCAGTCTTGGAACAATTAGTATATAAGTAATATATGTGTAACGTGTCAAGACCCCCAACAAGATCAAGACTAGAAAATGCTAAAGATAAAGAGAAAAAGCTAGTGAAAACAAAGAAAAGGCCTTAGATTGGTGTTGATTCAGATTGTGGAGAAATGGAACAAGGCTAACCTATATATACTATAGGTTGATGAAGCTCCACCACTTTTGAATCGAGGACGGCCTAAATATAGCTGAGGTCGAGGAGGTGCCACATCATCATCAGGAATGTGGCTCGAGACTCAGGAATCTGGAAGTGTCTCGAGAGTTAGGAATAGGGAAGTGTCTCGAGAGTCAGGAATAGGGAAGTGTCTCGAGAGTCAGGAATGTGGTTTGCAGGTCAGGAATCCGGCAAGAGTCAAGAATGTGGCAAGAATTGGGGGATTCCTGACAGCACCCCCTCCTCAAGAACGAGTGGAACGAGGATGTGAACTAGAACGAAGAGGAGGATGAGATGAGCAGCGAGGGATGGGAGATAGAGAAAAAAAATGAGGACTGGGACGAGAAGGATAGCGGCGGTGGAAGTCCTAAACAAGGTCAGGAGAATGAATTAGGTTGTCCACAGGTTCCCAAGTGCGTTCCTCAGGTCCGTAACCCTTCCAGTCCACCAGATAGTAGAGTTTAGACCGTGAAATCTTGGAATCAAGGATGTCCTGAACCTCGTACTCAGACCCATCCTCGAGCTGCACTGGTGGAGGCAGAGGAATGACCCGATTTGGAATAGGACTGGGAATATAAGGCTCAAGGAGAGAGGAGTGAAAAACAGGGTGAATTTGATATGAGGAGGGAAGTGCAAGGCGATAAGTGACAGGATTAATGATGGCAGTGATAGGGAAAGGACCAAGGCGTTTGAAATTGAGTTTTGGATAGGGCCTGGTGGTGGAGATATTTCGCCTGAGGAGCCAGACTTTATCCCCGATATTGTGAGGGGGACAATCCTGACGATGGACATTGGCAAATGTTTTATGAGATTCTTGAGCACGATGGAGGTGGAAGGAGATGGAGTTGTGGATTTCCTGGAGGTTGGAGATAAATGCCTCAGAGCGGGGATTTGAACGAGAGGATTCAGATGGAGAAGGAAGTGAGAGATTGAATCGGGGATTTTGGCCAGAGTTTGCAAAGAAGGGGGAAACTCGAAGAGAGGAGTGAACAGAGTTGTTATAGGAGAACTCAGCAAGAGGAAGGATATTGAACCAGTTATCCTGATGATAGTTGATGAAGCACCTCAAGAATTGTTCCAACGTCTGAATCGTTCGCTCGAACTGCCCATCAGTTTGAGGATGATATGCCGAAGAGAGGTTAGCCTTCACTCCAAGCAGCTGCAAAAACCGTTGCCAGAAATGAGAGATGAACTGAGGCCCCCGATCTGAAACCACATCTGTAGGAATCCCATGAAGTCAGAAAATTTCCCTGAATACCAGTTTTGCCATGTCCTCACCCGAAAACTCCTTGGTACATGGCAAGAAGTGCGCCATCTTTGTGAAGCGATCCACCACGACTAAAATGCTGTTGAAGCCTCCAGAACTCGGAAGATCACTCAAGAAATCCATGGAGATGGATTCCCAAGGACCTGAAGGGACCGGAAGGGAACGAAGCAAACCTGAAGGAAGGTGGCGAGGTACCTTATTCCGGGCACAAGTGTCACAGGAGGTAACAAAAGCTTTGATGTAGTCGTCCATGTGAGGCCACCAAAAGTCCCGTGCAACTAGCTCATAGGTTTTCGCAATGCCGAAGTGACCAGCAGTCGGGCTATCGTGGCACACCATCAGGACCAACCTTCGAGCATCACCTTCAGGAACGTAAAGCTGCTCCCCACGGTACAATAAACCATCTAAGAACTTGAACTCGTCAAATCGCCGACAGTCGGGAGTCACTGGGTGTCCAGCCTGAAGATGGGGGCAAATGTCGCTAGCGAGATCATCGGATTGAAGATCGTTTCTGATTGCATCCATCAAGGAGGAGTCCTGAGGGGCCAGGGAAATTGCCATAACTTGAAGCCGATCAGGACCGAGGATAACTTGATCCTGTTGATCGAAGGCAGGATTACCAGGCCTGAGACTGAGATAGGAGCGCCTTGAAAGAGCATCAGAAAGGCCTTGAAACTTTCCAGGTCTGTACTTGATAACAAAGTCAAACCAACTTAGGAATTGTGCCCACCTTGCTTGACGACGGCTTAAAACTCGGGAAGTGGCAAAGTACTCGAGATTTTTGTGATCCGTCCAGACTGTTGTTTGATGGCTTGCCCCCTCCAAGAAACGGCGCCACTCTCCAAAGGAATCCACGATGGCAAGGAGCTCCTTGTCGTGGATTTTGTAATTGATCTCCGCAAGCTGGAATTTCTGAGAATGGAAAGCGACCGGATGAAGTTTGTGATCCGCTCCGAGTTGAGACAGCACAATACCAATGGCAAAGTCGGAGGCATCAGCCTCGATGAAGAAAGGTTGTGAGGAATCAGCATGGATCAAGACAGGAGCAGAACTGAAGGCCGCCTTGAGTGTGTCGAAGGCTTGCTGGGCAGCAGCAAACCAAGAGAAGGGAACATCCTTGCGAGTGAGATGTGTGAGAGGAAGGACAATGTCAGAGTAGTGATCAATGAATTTGCGGTAGAAGTTGGCGAAGCCAAGGAAAACCTGAATGTCCGACATTGATTGTAGAGGCTCCCATTCGAGAATAGTCTTGACTTTGGCAGGATCCATCGTGATACCCTCAGGAGTGACAATGTACCCAAGGAACTCCACAGACTGCTGATCAAAGGAACATTTCTCAAGCTTCGCGTATAGGCCGTATTCTCGCAGCTTCGCTAGCACCTTGCGTACATGTTCGTCATGCTCCTCCTGAGTTTTTGAGTAGATGAGGATGTCATTGAGGTAGACGATCACCATCTGATCAAGAAACTCCCGAAAGACGTCGTTCGCCATGTGTTGGAAAACTGCTGGAGCATTTGTCAAGCCAAATGGCATGACAGTGTACTCGAAGTGGCCATAGCGGGTTTGGAACGCAGTCTTCCATTCATCACCAGGCCGGATCCGGATCAGGTTGTATGCTCCACGGAGGTCGATCTTGGTGAAGAAGCGGGCACCGCCGAGACGTTCCAACAGGTCCGAGATCAGGGGCAGCGGATAACGGTTCCGAACAGTCACCTTGTTCAAACCTTGGTAGTCGATGACTAGCCGCAAGCTCCCATCCTTCTTCTTGACAAAGAAGACAGGCACTCCAGCCG